CCCCAAAACCCCAAAACCCCAAAACCCCACATGACTATATTTAAATAGAGTTTTTTGGTATAATATAAAAATGAATTCAACACTCAGCAATAGTAGACTTTACGAAAGAGAAAGTTCTCTTTTTCCTAGGATTTTATCCAGATCTCTCCCTTGTCCAGAAGTGCCATTCTATCAAACTGAACCAGTCCAGAGTCCTAAAGGTAAATACTCTAGAAAATTCTGAAGATCGATTCATTGATTCCAAATTTTGGTGATGGGGTTGGTCAACCACAATCTTCATAATTGTATACTCACCGTTTTTGGGGCCGACTCAGCATTGCTAAATTTTCAGTTGCTTTACAAAGTGAGACTAAGCCAAAATGCTCAAAATTCTTATTTTACCACTTCCAAAGTAGTTTCATCTTTTATATACTGAGTATCTGCAATAGTGCCCTTCTCAATAAGATATCTCTTAATTCTCTTTTCAAATTTTACTATCGCTAATGATTATAAAAGCAATGAAAATAAATATTAACTTTACTATTTAGAGTACGTCTGGTGAGCCATCTACCAAGATATGCCTGTTCAAGAACCTCAGATACAGCAAGAAGAGATCTATTGTTATAACTTAGAAGATTTTTGACTCTGTGACAAACTAGCACTTCAGAAGCACTCCTTTGAAGTGAGAAGTTTGCCTAGTCCTACTGGGATAAAAGAAATTTCAGCTTTTGGAATTCCAAGCAACTCCGCCAATTACTTAGGAGTTCAGCAGATATCTCAAACACAGTCTCAAGTGCATCTATTTTCTCAAGAAATGCAGGGCAGAAATGGGCACCTGTTTTCACCTTTTTGGGTAAGAGCCCAGTACAAATCTCGCAAAGACGTGGTTTACAAGGCAATCTTTCGAAGGATGAGGAAATTCTTCACAGAAGATTTCCAGACTACCATGGGCAAGAAATCGATAAAGTCCAGGTACTTGCAAAAGGTAAAGGAGTACTGAAGGATCAGGTTCCCTAATTCTGATAACGAAGCTGTTTCTACCATATTCAACTGAATTATTAACTCAAGAGAAAGACTAGGCAAGATTAGAGAAAGAGATCAGTTATTGAAGACCAAAGTGGCAGATCTTGTCTATATGTTCAGTGAGAGAAGACTTAAGATGATGGAAGACCACCCTGAATTTTTCGATATCTTGCTCTATTTTCTCAACCAGCCAAACACAGTTAATTTGATATCAGATGAAGGATCAGAAGAATATTTTCAAAAGTTAAGGATACATTTGGGGCTACTCATGAGAAGTGCAACTCATAGAAGAGTATTCATTGATATGTAATTTCTATAAAATCAAACCAAACTTTCTTTTGATTACCTCTTCTAAATCCTTTTGGATATATAAGGGAGGAGCCTTCTTCTCCAAAATGGAGACTTGCTTATTGTATCCTAAAAAATACTGCACTTTATCTTAAAACGGTGGAGTTTATAAATAATTCTTTTCAGGACTCACATAAATTATTGGCTTAAATTCATTAGCAAATTGAGTGGCTATGATCGATTCGGGGTGTTTAAACTCACAATAAATATCTATAACTCATCGACACTCAGAACCCCCTATAAAACCCTTCTCATCCTCTAGACACCCCTTTACACCCCAAAACCCCTCTAAAAAATCAACCGCACTCCTTCACTCCTCTTCCCAAAGACCGAGTCTTAAGAACTGCGCATACGTTGTTAAACCACAATAAGACCGAACAGTTCAAAAGTTGTCCCTAGCGGTAATATTTTAAATTGACCTACTGTGTTGAGAGAGTATTAGGAGGGCTAAGCTCTAGAGGAAGCCTTTGTCCAGCCTTTGTCCAGCCTTTGTCTTCAAGATTTGGGCACATGAAAATAAATTTCAGGGATAGAAGATAGAATTTTTTAAACAATTGTGTTGATTTCCTGGAACTAATTATAAACCACTATTCCAACATAAAATAATTTAAAATACTACCAACTCTGACTATTCTATACCCCTTCTTAATTAATCAAAACTGCCCTAAAACCCCTCTAAATCTCTCTAATCCTACCACTACCCTATCTCCCACACTTCTCCCCTACACCACACCTTCCAACCCCTCCAAAAAATGCGACAAACAAGCTTTAACTCCTTCATCCATCTTCAATTCCAACCTATCTCCACGGGGTTTTGGGGTTTTGGGGTTTTGGGGTTTTGGGG